TATGCCACGCAGCAGAGAAAAGACAACACCGCCAAGCTGTGACGGCAGGTACGGAGAACCACCATCCAAATATGGCCCGACAAGATGTATGTACAATCCCACCCACTATGGGATGGGATCCACGATGATGGCCTTGACTTAGAGGCCATCCAAACCAACACGTCCACGACCTCAGAGATCGGTATTGTGGCCACCAACTCCACAAGCAGCAAGACGATCAACGATTTGGGGGATGCTACCTACTCTTGTATGGCTCCCAGATGATCAGGAGGCGATGATGAAGACCACAGCGAGACCACATCACACAGGACGGCTGGTGAAACACCGCCGTGCCCATAGTACTACCATGGCGAACACTGTAGCACCACATCATGCCATGCCGTGATGTGAGCACAAGACCATGACGACAATCACGCCAAGGTGTACACCACAAGACAACATTTCTTGCAAGCCAAGTTAGCTAGGCCTCCTCCCTCAGGCTCACGACCCTTCGATCGGGAGAACCTCCTTCTTTCTAACTAGACCCTAGACTCTATATAAGGGCAGCCATGGCACCCTTCCAGGCATCTCTTCATCATCTTCACAACCTCCAGACTCCTGAGGCTTTCCTTAAAGGCAATTCACCTTCTAGCTCTAGCACTCCTACCTGTTCCACCATTCTTGCACCCCCCCATTGTAAGAACTTTAGAGCATTCAAGCGAGGGACACACGCTCGATCACTCTGAGACTAGACATAGGGCTCTAGCCTGAACTAGTATAAATCCTCGTGTCTTTTGGATGCTATCATCGTCTTCCTAGAGTAGCGTGGTAATCGTATAAATTCACTAGTCCGGTTTACAAAACACCGACAGGCTATGTCTATGCTGTGGTGGTCACCGAAGTTCCCGGTGGTGGGACACCAAACATTTTTAGTACCGGCTGGAGCTCTCGGCGTTGAGCGACTAGAGAGATTTTGGGCCACCAGAAAATCTCGAGTAGTGGCCCAAGGAAGTGCACAAGAAGAAGTGGCCCAGTGGGCCGTCTAACCAGAGGTGTAGAGCATTCATGGATTTCTTCGTTGTGCACCGGAGTAACGGTGATCCAATGGTCAAGTCACTATTTGAATTCGACCAGTGGGCACCAGACATTTCTAGTGTCATCACAGAAACTATAATCAGGTCACAACTACTAGTTTGGCTTGTAGGGGTTATAAATAGGGGTGTGGCCGGTTGATAGTTGCTCATTAGTGCCCAAAGGTGTATCCCCGTCTATTAAAGTCAAAGAGAAGCCCTCCACTCACTTGTTCTTAGTTGATTGTGAATCGAAGTGAGATTGGAGTGATCTAGTGCATTTGGAGAGAGAGAGAGAGAGAGAGAGAGAGATAGCATCTAGTCACACTAGGGGCTAGTTAGGAAGCTTGAGGGCTTGTTACTTTTGGAGGTTGCCACCTCCTAGATGGCTTGGTGGCTTGTGTACTTCGTCATAGCATGCACGGAGATTTTAGGCATGTTGTTCTCGTCTCGTAGGAGATCACGAAGAGCAACTACTAGTAGAGTGAGGTGCGAAGATGCCAAGTGGTTTGGCTGAATCAAGTGCTAGAACTCACATTGATACTTGAGAGCACACATCAAGGGGTGAGAGCAAGCTTGTGGGATTGCCACTAGCAAGAGGATCATCGACAACCTTGGGATTGCCTCAACGGGGATTAAGTGATTGGCAAACCACTGAACCTCTGGATAAAAATGATTGTGCAAACTTATCTATCCCGCTCAATTTGCAACCCCTACACTAGCTTTTATTTAGTTGTTCTTATACTTGTGCTAGTGTGTTTGCTCTTGTTAGCTTGTTTAGCTATAAGTAGTTGTAGTTCCCTAGTTGTGCTTTTGTAGTGTAGCTAGATGAGTAGTGCTGGTGTAGCTTGGCTTTGTGCTTGTTGCTCACTAGCGTAGTATGTGTAGGATCCTCCGGTTGCTTGCTTGACTAGTGGCATTGGTTTGTGTGAGCTTGCCAACTAGAATTATGTAGGAGAGCTCCCACTAGCTCGGCACCTTAGTACTTCTTTAAGGTCTTTTGTAAGGTACTAGTGATATAGATAGAGGGGTGTTGTTGAGGCTAAAGGATTATTTTTCTTTCCGATGCTTTTATCAACTAGCCGTTGCGATTAAAATTTTAAAATGACTATTTAACACCCCTCTAGTCAGCCATCTCGACCTTTAAGCAGCCCGCAGTAGTGCGTTTTGCATATGCTACTAACTTCATACATGAGTCCGATGGTTGGGAGCTGCACAAATTCAACGAATGAACGCTCATCTAAGTGGGACGTCCCTAGCATAGGTAGACCAATAAGAACATCCTCAAACGTGATTCAAATAAGGAATAACGACATGGGTTTGTAAATGATTAAGGAAGAATAAATCGGGGACCTTCTAGTATTTTAGGGTTTTTGATTTTTCATTCCTAAACCACAAAATAACGTCTTTTTAGGCACCAAATGGAAGCTCTTGAATCTTAATTTGAATAATCTCAACTTAAAAGCATTTGAATCTCATTTTGGAAAACTCATGAACTTGAATTAGAAATTTGAATATCAAATCTCAATTGAAAGCTTGTAAACTTAATTTGAAGTCTAATATGTATGCTTAGAACCCAACCTCTCTAGTAGTTCAAAATATAAGGTGTGAAATGCGTGGTCTAACTCAAAAAGGTCACTAAAGTTATACTTTACCTCATAATTTCTCTTACACTATAATGTTTATAGCAACACAATCGTAACCATAAGAAATTGTTTTCAAAAGTAAAATTGATTATATAATTTTCACATAACAAGCTTTTATCTAGTGAATTGTTGGTGAAAGATCACGATGTTTATCTCTAGGTGTAGTTTATCATCTGAAGTAGTTTTAAAGTTCACTAGGATGAATTGAAAGGTGTATTGTCTGTCTTATTTTGTACTGTGCAGATTTTATCAACGCGACCAAATTAACAAAATTAGAACATTTGTGCAATTTACCTCTTTAATCCAATTGTCAACAAGTGTATTTTTTTTATTTGGTTCATTTGGTTGTGCAAAAATGACATGATCTTTGACAACAAAATATTACATTCTTAATTGCATGTTATTTTTAGGAGCACTTACTGAACACACTTCTAGACCATCCTTTAAAAATAGTGCCATAGGCCAGCCTTGATATGGGCATATAGGGGCTGTTTGGTTGTAGCCTTGCAAGCAGCTCAGCAGCCAGACAACAATCCTGTCCACAGGCATAGAAAAATGAACGCCTGGGATGAGTTGCTTGGACCAGGCAGCTTCTCAGACCATGAACCAAACAGCCCCATATAGTATATAACAATAGAGATTTTCGTTAGGGATGGGTAGTTAACTTCTAATATAATTTTGGTGTTTATTTGTACAAAAAAAGACTTGGTGTTTATTTGCACAAAAAAATGTTTTTGGTGTTGTTCTTTGAGAGCAAGTTGTTTTTATCCGATCTAATTTTAAAATAATGGACAGTTGCCTATATAACTTATATAGAGGCCAAAATAATATTTCTTTTTTTAGAAAAAAAACAACATGGCACGAATGAGTAGCTCAGCTGGTCTTGTTCACCCGGTTTCATCTCTTTGATTTGATATGGATGGCATTTTAATTTTGAGTCTTCAACTCGAGATCTGAGTCTCTGTAATGTGAAAGAATCACAACTGTTGTCCTTTTGTTTTCCAGAGAATATCAGTGATGCTGCATTTGCTGCTGGTCACCATGTCGCACACTGAGGCCACAAAATATTTTTTGCCAAGGGAATTTTAGGCCAAGAATCGATGCCAAACTATGTTTTGGTTACTTTATTGTTGGGCCATACTATTATGTCACAGGGTACAAAAGTCCACATCACTGTGTTGGGCTAGATTCGAGCCTTCGAAATCGACCCAGAGCAAAGATGTTCGGCCCTTGAAATAGCCATTTGGCATTTGCCGCCTCCGCCTTTGCCGTCTCCCCCTTGGCCAGAAATGGCGAGATATGACAATATGACGCATTCGCTGATGCCATACGATCGGCGGCACGTCGTCCTTGCCACAGAACGCACTCCATGCCGACCGGTGAAAGCGCAAGTGCGCAACTACGTAGAGAGAGCGCGCGCATATATGCTCGCCGTGCCTTTCCCGACGCATTTTATGCTAAGCGTCTCGCTGCAGGTCATGTCATCCCAAGCTTTTTGCCCTTTTTTCCATTGCAGATATCTTTTTTCCCCGTCACTTTGTTTGTTTTTCCGTTGGAGATATCTCTCCCTTTCTCATGTGCCGCGGAAGCTGGGGTCGATCACCGATCAGATGAGAAGCAGAGCATGCACCGATCGATCCAGGCGCTGGAAGAGACGCCGAAAAGGTGCGGCCTTTTCTGAACTGCATCTTCACGAGATATCCTTGAGCACCTTTACTCTCTCCCTCCTCCGGCCTATCCCCGCCCGCGGTCTGGAGCCAACAACACCAGCGCTTTCTCAAGGGTGCCAGAGATAGAGAGGAGAAGAGAGGAGGACTCGAGGAGGAGGAAGAAGAGCTTGCTAGCGTCCCCTTCTTCCCGCTGCGCGTGCGTGCCTTTATTCGCTTTCGCGCCATTTGCATCCTCCAAGAAGCTAGCTAGCAGCGGGCAGCAGCTGGGTCCGTGCCACGCGCGCATGCATGCTTTGTGGATAGGGTAGCCGGCAGCACGCAGGATTATTGCGTAGGCATCCGTCTGGGCGTTCCTTGCATCGGCGTGGGAGTTTGGGATCTTGTTTAGCTTGATGCGTGGTGAAGATACTTTGCTTTAATTTGGTGTGACCTGTAATTAAGTAAGCATTGTGAGTGTGGTGGTGGTGGTGGCGGCGGCGGCGCGGCGAGCAATGCCCGTGGCGGTGGCGCGGGCGTCGTCCGGCTTGTCGCACCGTCGTCGACCGTGTTGGTAGCAGCAGAGCAGCGGTACCGTCGCCGGCCGGCATGCCGTGTGCGACGTCGTGCTGCGAGTCTTGATACAGCTGGCGCCCCACATGCTCTCGTGCTTCCGGCTGCCGCGGCCGTTCGGCAGCGGCGGCGGCGGGGACGCGGACCAGCAGCAGGCCGCGGCGGTGTCTCCCCGTCGGGGCCCGTCGCTGCCATTCGCGGCGAGCCTGTTCGCGGCGTCCCCGTCGACGTCCGGGCGCGGGAAGAGCCCGTGGCCGCCGCCGGAGGCGGACGACATGGAGAAGAAGCGGTGGGACAGCATGGAGTCGTGGTCCATGCTGCTGGACACGGTGATGGTCCCCGGCGGCGAGGACAGCCGCAGCGGGCGGCGAGAGGAGTGGATGGCCGACCTGTCGCAGCTCTTCATCGGCAACAAGTTCGCGTCGGGCGCCAACAGCCGCATCTACCGCGGCATCTACAAGCAGCGCGCCGTGGCCGTGAAGATGGTGCGCATCCCGGAGCGCGACGAGGCCCGCCGCGCCGAGCTCGAGGAGCAGTTCAACTCCGAGGTCGCCTTCCTCTCCCGCCTCTACCACCCAAACATCGTGCAGTTCATCGCGGCGTGCAAGAAGCCGCCGGTTTACTGCATCATCACGGAGTACATGTCCCAGGGCACGCTGCGGATGTACCTGAACAAGAAGGACCCGTACTCGCTGTCGCCGGAGACGATCCTGAAGCTGGCGCTGGACATCTCGCGGGGCATGGAGTACCTGCACGCGCAGGGCGTGATCCACCGGGACCTCAAGTCCCAGAACCTGCTGCTCAACGACGAGATGCGCGTCAAGGTGGCCGACTTCGGCACCTCCTGCCTGGAGACCAAGTGCCAGGCCACCAAGGGCAACAAGGGCACCTACCGCTGGATGGCGCCGGAGATGACCAAGGAGAAGCCCTACACCCGCAAGGTGGACGTGTACAGCTTCGGCATCGTGCTCTGGGAGCTCACCACCTGCCTGCTCCCGTTCCAGGGCATGACGCCCGTGCAGGCCGCGTACGCTGCCTCAGAGAAGGTTAGGTTGGGTTGCTTCCGTTTCAGTTGATGATCTGTGAAAGAACTGAATCTCTTTGTCTTTTGTGATTGGTTGATTGCTGATTCCTGACTGGGTGTGTCCATCGATCATCAGAACCTGCGCCCGCCGCTGTCGAACTCGTGCCCGCCGGTGCTCAACAACCTGATCAAGAAGTGCTGGTCGGCGAACCCGGCGCGGCGGCCGGAGTTCAGCTACATTGTGTCGGTGCTGGAGAAGTACGACCACTGCGTGAAGGAGGGGATGCCGGTGACGGCGCACCAGGAGCTCAGGCTCTGGCGCTCCTTCGCCAAGATCTTCAGGACGGGCTGCATCACCAACAACTTGTCCATACCGGTGCATGCGTGATCCATCTCCATCCTTCCGTAGCTGAATTGCTGCTGCTGTTTGTCTCTGTTCTGCTTAATCAATCATAAAACCGCAAGAGCCTAGGAAATACTACTAAGTATATACTAGTATATCGATCTATCTGTCACAAACAAAAGGCATACAAGACGTCCGGCCGGAACCAAATGTAACTCTGGATCAAATGTGTAAATTTTATCTCTCTGATCTGACGATCATTTAAGCATCAAAAGAATCGACGCATCCGAAACAGACAGAGCAACCATGCTACATACAGTACATCGAGTCGTTCTCGACAATGGGAGGAATGCTATGCTATACACGGCGATTAATTAGTAGCAACATTTCTAGGCATCACAGGAGCTCCTGGTAGCACAGGTCCAGCGTCTTCTTGGCGAAGAACTGGTTCACCTTCTGCGTGGGGTGGAACGAGTCCCAGAAGAAGTACTTGTCGGCGTCGCCGCATGTGTGGGGGCTCTTGTCGTTGCACAGGTAGGACATCTCCACCTTCCCCGTCGCGCAGCACCCCTCCTCCACGTTCTCCAGCCCTGCCATGCCAATCCATCAGGTCAGCTCGCATTGCATCGCATGCATTGGAGATCTATCTATCGATGTACACTGCTCACCCAGCGTGGAAGGGTTGGTGATGAGGTCGAGCATGTTCTTGTACACGTCAATGTAGGCGACCTTGAGCCCCGGGCGCGCCGCCATGACCCGGCGGAGCATGTCGAGCAACTTGGCGTTGTAGTCCCGCGCCACCTGGTTATACCCCTCGACGCACCCGCCGCGGAGCTCGTTGAGCGTGCGCTCCAGCGGCAGGCAGCCGATGGCGCTGAGCCCCGCGAAGGTGACACGGCGCGCGCCCAGCGCGTGGATCTCGCCCAGGAACCACTCCGCCTGCGCCACCAGGAAGTCCTCGAACGCCCCCACCGTGAACTCCGCGAACCGCCCCGTCACCAGCAGGAAGTAGTTCTCCAGGAAGTCGTTGGTGCCGATGCTCACCACGTACAGTGCGTCGGAGACGATGCGCCGCGCGCTGGCGCTCCCCACGTGCCGCCGGAGACGACGCTTGTACTCCTTGAAGTACTCCACCTCCTTCCACAGCGGGATCACTGACTTCACGGTCGTCGTCGTCGTCGTCGTTCAACCGGCGTACCCGGGGAAGGAAACCAAACAGGTTTTAATTTAAAGTCAGCAGCATCAACCATGATATATCGGTGCAGTGCAAGTAATTAAGATCAGAATTGAAATTAATTGCAGGAATGAATCGATTCTGGCTGGGATCCTGATCTGTGCAGTGTACATGGCGATCGTCCTCTGTGGTAGATGGCTAGATTCAGAGCTTGAATGCTCCCCACGACGCAAGCTCAGGGAAACAGGACGCGTACATTTTATCCATTCAATTCGCGCGTCAGTTCTTGTGGACTTTGTGAGCTGTTTGTGGCCGTGGAGGGATGTTTCTCCCGAAATTGCTGGGGACCAATAAACAAAATTTCTACTGGTGTACTACTATAGTTACTCACATAATTCCACAGGAATAAACACCACAACAAATTCCAAAGTGCCCCACCAATAACTGCAGCTTTAGCAAACAATGTGCTAGGCTGCTGCTACCTGTAGCTGAATTTAGTAGAGCAGCGACGAACTGTTCCATAGCCTCTTGAGCACGTGATTAGATGTCAGTACAAACTAATGGAAGGGAGAGATGATTTCATTTCAGGGAAACAATACCATTTACCACCACAGTTTTTGGAAGTAATCATTTCCGTCCTAAAATAAGTACACTTCTATGATTTTTTCAAGAGATCAATGTAACTATAAAATTACATATAAGCAAGAAGAAGAAAGACAAGATACTGGTGCTCAAGAACAACCGATTGCTTGAGGCTGCTAGACTGTATCAAGTATTCAAGTTGTTTGGTCGAGTTGGGTTGTTCGGGTCTGCATCAGTTGTACATGACAGAGTTTGGTAACTGACACATTATGGCACTCTTACCCTACGTAATATGAGGAAGATTTGGCATAGGCTGAAAGCCAAGGACGATCTTCAACGATCACCTTCGATATAAGATCATGTTGTTGTAGAGTCGTTTATTATGCTAGTGCTCGTGAAAGGGATTTTCTTTTCCTCGCTGAAAACCGTGGGTTGTTTTTATTCGGTCGAGTTATTAGTTGTATTGTGTTCAGCCAAGTTGTTCTTCGGGCGAAAAGTGGAGTTGGGAGAACTAGTTGGTCAATCATTATACCAAAGTTACGAGGATGGTGCGTGTGCACCCCCATTAGTTATGTGTTTTTTTGCCCAATTTTCAATAAATAAAACTAGGCCAGCACATAATTTATTTTTATTCTTCTAATAAAAATTGTGGCGCTAAACATTTTTTTCATCCTTTTAAAAAAATTACATACATACTCATATCTCTATTCAGTTTTTTTTTTTCAAAAGACCTCGTGTGTTGACATGGTTCCAAATAAGATCTACAACTTTGTAACGATTTTTTTATCTGATATCCTTTAGAGGCCCAAATATTTATTTTAAGTTCTTTAACATTGAAATTCATTTTTTAACATTTTTAAACTATCTCGGATGTTGACGTGGTCTACACAAAAGTTGTAGCCCTCAATATGTTCTACACCTTCTAGTTGGCAATCTTTTTGTCATGGTTGTTTAGAGGCCCAAATGTTTATCTTAAATTCTTACTTTTTGAAATTTATTTTCCTCTTCAATTTTCCAAACGATCTATGATGTTAATATTGTCCATACCAAAGTTGTAGATCTCAACATGATCTATAACTTTTTAGTTGATAATTTTTTATTTGAGATTATTTAGAGGTTCAATTTTTTGTTTTAATTCTATAATTATGAAATTCATTGTTTTGAATTTTTTTCAAACAATATCATACGAAAGACATGCTCTATACCAAGTTTGTCGTACTCAACAAGATATAAAACTTTCTAGTTGAAATTGTTTCCATTTGAGACCATTTAGGAGTCCAAATATTCAACAAAAATGGCATGGCTAAAAAAACGTCACATACGCACCACATGAGCCAAAACCATCCTCGAAACTACCTTGGACTATTTTAGCGGTAATGCTGGGCGTCCGAACGTCGGACGCTACGTGGCTTCACGTTGTTCATATATTCACAAATATTTGATACTCCCACACTGCCTTCAAAAAAAATCTGCCACTCCGCAAGCTGCCAGCCGCAAGCCACACTCACGTTCCGCTCTCCTCCTCCATGGCCACACCCCAGCCTCCATTTCCTCCCCCACCTCCTGCTCCTCCTCATCGTGGCCCTTGCCGCCGCCACGACCTTCGTCCTGCTTCGCTCGTCTCTCACCGTCGAGACCGCGGCGTCTGCTACCACGTGGCCGCTCTCCAAGCTCCCCTAAGCCCATGGTTTTGCTCATCTCCTCGGATGGCTTTCGCTGCGGGTACCAGTACAAGGTCCCTCTTCCACACATCCGTCGCCTCGCCGGTGTCCTCCTCATCACCTCCTCCTGCGGCTAGAGACGGCAAGGGCACCGTGGCTGTGCTGTACTTCGTGACCGCCTCGAGCCTTGCCACACATGGTGGTCGTCGTCCACTAGAGTGTCGCGCTAGATATGTTACAAGCGTAAGTGTTTCAGGGGTTTCATATGCATGTTGCAAGTGCCTCATGTGGATGTTGCAAAAGTAGATCGTGATGTTGCGTATGTTGCAATGGCTATACACGTATGTTGCATGCTTCAGTTCCAAATATTTGATCTCTTTTTTTAGACGTACGTTGCAAATGTATTTATTTGGATATTGCATATGTTTCACACATATGTTGCAACTGTTTTATCTGGATGTTGCACATGCTTTTGCAATGGATTCAAGTGTTTTCAGGTGTTGTTGTAAGTGTTTCAGACACATGTTTCAAGTGTTTCATCTACCTACAGACATATGTTGCAAATATTTCATCTGGTTGTTTCAAAAGTAGATCAGGTGTTGCTGCTGGGGACCCACCTGCCACAGCAGACGTCCGTCTGGGGAAGTAGAGGGGGCGCGAGCGATCTCCTTGTGGGGTCAGGAGGCGCAGGCGATGTTCGGACGGGCGCGAGCCCCTATGTGGGCGCGCAAAACGGAGTGCAGGCGTGGGCATCCGAACGCGCGCATCCATCCTGACATCCGGGCGCTAGCACTGCCACTATTTTAGGGGGTAATTTGTTCGGCTTTGAAAATTAAGAGGGTATGTTGTCTAATATTCGTGTTCGAATGTGCTTTTTTAAATTCGACAACAATTTGAGGGTGGCATATCGGACTTTACTTTTTTTTAACAACTGCCACAACTTAATGCTTATTTCACTGATGGAGTACCCGTTGCCCGTGGCCCATGCGCTGGCTTCTTCATTGATCTTGGCCCCGTTCTTCGCTGAAAAAACAAGCCGAAATACTGTTCCGACTGATTTGTTGTGAACGAAAAACACTGTTCCGGCTGAAAAAAATAAGCTGAAAAGTACAGATTATAAGACAAGCGAACAGGGCCAATAGCGGCAGTTGGGGCTTGTTGGTGGAAACCCCCACCTTCTCTTTTTTCTAAATTTCCGTTGTTTTATTTTTGTTTTGTACCTTCCAAAAGTAGATACTTGAATTCAGGTCAGATCTTCAGGATCAGGAGGTGAGGGTACAAGGCTTGAACAGAACGCAACACAGCGAGGACGGCATGAACAGTGAAGATCGCAATGCTGCAGATTTAGATCGCTACACGTCTGCTAACCAACCGTGCTACACCGGAGTTCACGACGGGTCGCAGCCTGAAAGAAAGTGAAAGCAAAATACCGGCAACCATTCGAATTCGACGCACTAAGAAGGCTCTGCAGTTGGTTGCCAAGAGGAAGAAACCAAGAAGGCTGTTGCAGACCAAAAACAGCGTCACGCATTAGCAAAGCCCCATGGTTAGTAGCAATCTAGCAGAGGAGAGTGACAAGGACCATTAGTTAGCGATCAATAATTCTCTGGACCCTAATGTGATCATCCGTGCAGTCTAATCAAGGATTCAAGGTTTGAAATGCTCCATTTCTTGAGAAGAGCAGAGACTGAAAAATTCAAGGATTCAAGGATTCAAGGTATGGCCCCCACGGCCTTAAACACCGGCCGTAGCGTCCATCAACCATCCGTCAGGCCGATCGAGCGCCTTCAATTCAGGGAGCTCCAGCTGCACTGCAAGACCACTGCAGACTTCCTCTGCCATTTCGTCGCCGTCGTCCCGGAACAAGCTGACGAAAGGGAAGCACTGTAACTACTCGGCTGCCGTTTGCAGCCCTGCAGGGACCATGGAATCTTCTCCCCTGCAACTCTTCCTGCCATCTTGGCCTTGCCACAAAAGGTTTTGCTACCTTGAGGTGTGCTGCCAAGCGCATGCACACGTCACATCTCTGGTCTCCCCTTGCAGTCGTGCAGAGCACCAGGATCTCTGGTCTCTCGGCCGAGATGGCAAGATTGTTTTTTTTTCTTGTTGTAATTGCTAGTAGTATAATCTACTAGTTTTAATCATGGCAATTGTGAGTGGCTGTGTGAGCAAGCGGTATGTAGGTGGCGTACCAGGACGCCGGCGGTCTTGTTGTCGAGGCCGGTGCCGGCGGAGGCGAAGCAGACGCCTTGTGCGAAGTCCTGGATGCCGTAGGCGGGGTCGAGGTAGGCCGGGACGAGCGGCGGCAGGCCGAGCGCCTCGGAGATGAAGTCCGGGGGCAGGCGCCCGTTGCAGAACCGCCCCGTGGGGTTGGCCCCGCCGGCCATGTCGCGCCCGTACGGCGGGAAGTCGCTCTTCAGGATGGTCCCGATCGCGTTGTTGTTGCCCGTGTCCACCGTCGAGTCCCCGAACACGATCACCGCCGGCACCTTCGGATGGTTCGGCGACGACGGATCGGCGCGGGCGCAGCAGCAGCAGCAGGACAGGGCGAGCAGGAGCGCCGCCGCAGCATGCTGCAGCGGCACGCTGGCCCGGCGATTTCCGCGCGGGGACGCCATTGCATGCGGCGGAGCAGCGGAGGTGGCCGGGGTGCTCGTGCTTGTACGGTGGCAAGGCAAACCGCGCGCGGCTGTGCTCTGCAGACTGCAGCTGCGCGGCCTGCGGGCGGGCGTTGTTTTGTGACTGGTGGTGCTCATTAAATAGCAGAGGCCGCGAGGCGGCGGTGGGTCCTTCCCCGCCGGGCTGACGAGTGACGAGCGCACCGTACAAATAACCAGTGGGGCTTTCAAAGCTACGTCAAGGGACGCATGATCGGACACTTTGTTAGATGGTGAGATCCTGCTTCATTGGGCGCTCCGAAAAGGAAAAGTAATCGCACGACCACACCTCGCGGGCGAACGCGGAGTAGCTGGGGAAATGGTGGAGGCTGGAGGAGAATGTGAGCGCTAGGTTAGGGCTAGTGGGTTAGAGTATTCGTGAGCTCAATGCAAAACATAATTTTTGGCCAAAAGATTTGATTTTGTTTGATTTTACAATCTTACATTACTAATCAGAGGGTCCTAAGCACCTCCATCCTTCCTAATCCATGATTTTTTTTGGAAGAATGAAAAAAAACATCTTCAACAACTCCTAAACTCACATCCTAATCTTTTGGCATTTGACGAAAAACCCATTGCGCGTAAAGATCCGCGGACTCTAGATCACGAGGTCTTTCCCCGCGTGGTCTCCTCCTTCGCGCGCTAGAGTTTGCTGCAATTGTTCTCCATCGCGCCAAACCTCGCCGTCCAGGGGAGACGATCTTCGCTGCCGCCGACCAAGAGACAAGGTAATCCATCGATCTACTGCTCGCACTTTGCCGGATTCTGGTTTTTTTGCCAGTCCTAGGGTTTCCTGCCGGCCGCGGCTGCCGCCAGGATTGGCATGGCCGTTGCTGGCCGCGCCACGGGCAAGCACAATCTGCCGCAGCCGTCGCCTGGAGGCAATGGGTAAGCACAGCTCGGCGATGGCCCCTCCAGCCTGGCTGTTGCCGGCCGTGGATGGCTACGGACCGCCCTTGGGTGTTCCTTTGTGCCTGCGCGTGGCCGAGGATGTGTTGGCCTGCTGCTGCCTCTCTGTGCGAGGCCGGTTTATGCCGCCTTCAACCACGCCGTTGGTTAGGACTGCTCGGGCACGCCTTCTTTGGGCTCTCTTGAGCTGGCCACACCGCCTTCGACCACGTCTCTAGCTATGACCACTCGGCCGTGTTGTCGATGGGCTTCCCCAAACCGGTCACACCGCATTTGACCATGTCTGCGGCTACGACTGCTCGGGCACGGCATCGACATGCTCACCCGAATCAATCACACTACCGCTAGCAATGTCATCGACCATGACCGCTCAGGGACGTTGCCGTCTCACCCAGATCATCACATCTGGTACACGCCTCTATTTGTACTAGGTAATGGTGTACCAAGCAATTCCTATTGTGTTTGGTTTGGCAATGCACAAGAGATATGTTGCAACGAACTATTAACTCCAGAATTAGACATTGAACCATATAACATACTTAAATTTTGTAATGGTTCAAAATTGCTAACATTACATATTTTGGCCAGAAGCAGTCAGAAACAGAAGGCGTAACACATATGGGTACAGGGAAGATGGACATAGAACCAACTAACCAAAACTGGATGGTCCAGTTTCTTCTGATTTTGCTGTCCAGAATTCGTTTGACCCTCGGGAACAAAATTCAACGACATACTATACAATATAGTTGACTTGATCCGATGGACCAGAAGATGAAATTTGTGGTTGCGGCACATACTGTATGAACACTGCCGGAAATATGCCACAGGCACTCGGCAAAGACCAAAAAACACTCGGCAAAGGCTTTGTTGAGTGTAACACTCGGCAAACAGCACACGACATCTACAGTGCCGGCAAACGTCTCTTTGCCGAGTGTTTTCTATCAGACACTCGGCAAATATTTTGCCGAGAGCTGAAACCGACGCTCGGCGAAAAAAAGTAACGCGACGGCGCGGAGAGGGTCACGGCGTGTTTGCCGAGTGTTCCGGACCTGACACTCGGCAAACCTGCCTTATTTGTCGAGTGTCAAACTCCGGGACACTCGGCAAATATGCCTTCTTTGCCGAGTGTCAACTCCGGGACTCTCGGCAAAGCTGCCTTATTTGCCGAGTGTTAACTTTGGGACACTCGGCAAAGCTGCCTTCTTTTGGCGAGTGTCATCTCTGGGACACTCGGCAAACCTTCCTTCTTTGCCGAGTGCCAAATACCTGACACTCGACAAAGACTGGCCCAGAACGTACAAATGTTGGCTTCTTTGCCGAGTGTCATAGCGCAGACACTCGGCAAAGAAGCCATTTTAGTCCCAGAATGCACAGATTTTTGCCACGTGTCCCTCTTTGCTGAGTGTAATTTCTATGGCACTCGGCAAATAGCTTTTTTGCCGAGTGTAACACTCGGCAAAGCTGCCATAAATAATCAGATTATTTGTTTCGGTCACAACCACGTACCACATTCAAATAAACATCACATTCATCACAGATAGTTCACAATACGCATCACAGACAGTTCATATAGATATATCGACAACACATTAATGCAAATAAACTTCAGAATCACTAGTAGGTTCATTCACAATCACAAATAGTCACAAGTAGTCACAGGTAATCCACAAATGCAAATAAAATCACTTAGGCCACGAGTTCCACTGCGACCACGCTGGATCGTGAGGCTCATTCGATGCCGCCGATTGATGCTGCATAAAGAAGAAGAGATTGCATGTGAGTCAAGATTGAACAACACGTATGGTCTCTCTGTTGCCTAACTAGTATAACCCTTTAACTATCATCAATAGCTTCTCAATTGCATTGTGCTCTAGTATGATTGCTTAAGTAGTAGTTGGTAACAAACATATAGCATTAGTCACTAAGTTTCTAGTGTCTGGGCATCTTTGTAAGATTGATTCTGCATAAACTAGAAACGATGATTATAAGGTTGTAAAGCGACTCACAGTGTCTGAAATAGTATTTGTAGCAGGTTGAGGAGGAGGGACTGGCATCGGTGACGGAGGTTGACCGATTGCAGCATAAACACCCCTCATATATTTAAACATCTGCAGCTCCATCCTCTGCCGCTCTACCTCCATCTTCGCCTCTAGCTCCTCCCGGCACCTCGTTTCTTGTTTCAGTTGAGCCTACAATATTTCATCCCAATGTTATAATGCAATGCAAAAGTATGTAAAAATCAATGAACGATGAATAAAACAGAAATAACCTCGCCTGATCCACTCTAGCCTTAACATTATCCTTTGTCTTATCAGGAATGTCCATGATTGTACCAAAAATTGCCTCGGCGATATTCTTTTTAGTGTGCATTACATCAATGTTATGTGGAAGTAGAAGGTCATCAAAATAGGGGAGGTTCCACAAGCACGACTTGTGAGTCCATGCATGTTCCTCACCATATCCCAGAAAATGATCTCCTTGGTCATTGACCTCGAGAGCGTCTAATTGAGCACGAACCGCGGCACTAATCATCATCTGGGGTGCAGGGCCTTCAACTACTACATCTTTCGTAAAGTTCTTGATGTCTTGTCTGAATGGATGGTCAAGAGGGAGGAATTGTCGATGTTTGTCGAACGAAGAATACTTGCCACCCTTCGTCAACCAAATTAACATCAGAGACGCCTTGCATACTGGGCATGAGAACTTCCCGTGAACACACCAGCCGCAGAATATCCCATACGCTGAAAAGTCATGCAGGGAGTACTGGTACCAAACATGCATTTTAAAGTTTGTCTTTGTAGCTCGGTCGTATATCCATACCCCTTCCTCCCAAGCACGGACCAAATCATCAATCGGAGGCTCCATGTACACACTCATATTATTCCCCGAGTGTTCAGGAATTATCAACGACTAGAATATGTTATGTCGTTGAAAGAGGACGCCAGGGGGGAGATTGAGAGGGATAACGAACATGGGCCAACAAGTGTATGAGGCAGCCGTCATTCCATAAGGATTGAACCCATCTGTTGCCAGCGCAACACGTACATTACGAGCCTCTAAAGCTTTCTCACGATGAATCATATCAAACCTTGTCCATGCTTCACCATCGAATGGATGCACTAGCTTCTCAGGATTGCATCGACGTCCGTATTTGTGCCATGTCATCTGTTTCGTGGATTCCTCAGTCATATAAAGCTATTGGATCCTTGGTATGAATGGAAGGTACCGTAGGATCTTCACGGGGACGGCGAGCTACCACTTCTGACCATCACCAGAGTCTACCTCCAGGAACCTAGACGATTTACACTTCATACAGTACTTTGCTTCCGCATGTTCTTTCCTAAATAAGATGCATCCCTTCGGACAAGCATGTATCTGCTCATATGGCATCTTAAGTGCACGAAGAAGTTTCTGTGCCTCATACATGCTCTTTGGCAGGATGTGACCATCCGGGAGCAGGCTACCAACAACTGTCAGCATAACATCGGAGGCTTCTCGACTCAAGCTAAATTAGAACTTTACAGCCATTAGACGTGCAATGGCATTCAGTTGGGAAACCTTGGCATGCCTGTGAAGGGGTTGCTATGCCGCAGACAACATATCGTAATACGCCTTTGTGGTTGGCTCTGGCTCCTCCTCCCTACGTCCTTCATCAAAGTGTGCTTCATGATAGTCATTTAACATATCTCCTACCCCGGCATCAGCATCATAATCCTCGATGCGTTGTCTCATGACCTCGTCTCTCACACGATCGGATTCACCATGGTAGATCCACCGGGTATAGTCCGCCGTAAATTCATTCTATCAAAGATGTTTACCCATGACCACCTTTGTTTGTCGACGCGTGTTTGCACAAATGCTATAGGGACACCAAGTGCCACACGCTCCTTTAACCCTTGCAAATGCTAGTTCCAAGAAAGCATCGGTCTTCTCAATCCATTCATCGGTGAACGAACCCTGACTAGAGCGGCCCGTGTACATCCACTCATGGTCATCCATCCTCTAACATATCAACAAGTAATATAAAAATCAATTGCATCTACAGGTTCCTA